AATCCCTTATTTTACCTTAAACTAAAACCAAAACTAAAGTATAACTATTTTATTCATTTCCCCATACCAATTGAATTTTCCTTCCTTCCTTTCTTCTTCTTACTTTCATATTCGTGTCCTTCTTCATGTACCCACCACTAATGTTCCGATGTTCTCTTTGTTTTAGCCACATTCTTAGTCATTCCTTGCTACTATCATTTAGTTATTTTTTAATAAATACCGTTACGAAAATCCACTTGTCTTTTCTTATTACGCTTAGAGCATCTAGAATGCCATAACTTTAGACTGCACTGCCATCTATTCATTTGAATTTTAACGGTTACACAAAGCACGTGCTACTCAAAACTGGTACGAGGACTCGAGGATGCACGAGGAGTGTTGATAATCAGTAGGTTCGCAAGTTACACACTTCAGCACTCGCGCGAGTCGTTGGCTACTTGTTGATTCTAAAATTTGAAATTTTTAGTGAGAAAAATGCATTTACAGTTAAATTTAATCGCGGCTGCATGTGAAGGTATGGGAATTGGAGTAAATGGAACCTTACCATGGAAGCTTAAGTAAGATGTAACCTTGGGTCGTTAATTATGAACGATACTGCACATTCTAATCTACTTCTTTTCTGTGGATACAGAAGTGAAATGGCATTCTTTACGAGCATGACTACGAAAACGAAAGATAAAGATAAAAAAAATGTTGTCCTTATGGGACGAAGGACGTGGGAATGTATTCCTAAGAAATATAAACCATTAAAGAATCGAATAAACATGGTTCTAACGTCGCAATTCTTGTAATGCTAATTATTTTGTTACGTAAAATGAAGTACATTAGAGAATAGTATTTGACGTTACAAGCTTTATATTATGTACGAATATATAGGAATTTCGGGGACCAGGCAATTGTATGCAAAAGCATTCCGCAAGCTCTCGAAATTATTTCGCAACCTCCGCTGAAAGATCAAGTTGAAAATATATGGGTAATTGGAGGGAGTTCTGTGTACAAGGTATACATTCATTAACTCAAACCGTATTGTGTTTTTTAATTATAATTTCCATACATGTCCTTGTATGGGAAATTAACATTTTTTTACTGGAACTTTCCGATTTCGCAATTGAATGAAAATGAGTTTTAGGGTACTTACAGTGAAGATATCAAAGTATCAAATACTTATATAGACGAAACAAAATATTCAATTGATTTTAAATAATATATAAGATTCTTTAATAGTACAAATGCAACTATAGACTTTTTTCTCTTTACTGACAAAAATACCGATACTTTAAAATTCACAATAAATTAAAATTAATTGAATATAACGCTGCATGTTTGCATATATGATACACTACCGCATACAAATATTTTATCGGATGTCGAGTAGAAGAAAAATATATTTTTTATTAAAACACTGTGATCACATCTTTAAAATCACACATTTTTATTACAATTATTTACTTTCATAAAAATAATAACATTATATGCATTATTTACTTCTAAAAACATAATCACGTTATTATGTAACGTATAGTAAGCTCTCGATTATCAATATGGTGTAAATCCATTTATCTTTCTTTCGAGATATAAAAGAATTTGATACTTGATTCGATAAAAAAATGTAGATAGTCAAAAAACCTGACGTGGTATACTTTTAGCAATCGCCGATAAGAAATCAAACATTATGTTTTTATCTAATTTCGGGTACAAATATGACTATATTTTCATTTCTTTTTTTCAAATTTTTCACTTCGTTTAAAAGTTACATTTATTTCAAACAATTACGAAAAGAAATGGTTAAAATCTCTGTAAACTGAAGTAATCTGTATTTGGTACTTTTATGTCTGTATTGTAAGCACTCAGAAAGCTTATTCTTATCAGACTGTTACTTCAATGGTTATAATTTATTGTAGAAAAAGTTAGAAACACGTTTACACGCAAAACCACATCATATTGTAATTACACAAAAATGATCAATGTTGTTTTAAAAGGTCTCCAATATCGCGTAAAATGATTGTGTGTTTGAGTTACAGGCTGCTATGGAGTCTCCTAATTTCCATAGATTATACCTGACGAGAATAAAAAAATATTTCGATTGCGACACTTTTTTCCCGCCGATTCCTAATACTTTCATCTTGCAGCAGTGAGTTCATTTATAATCTTAACAGTTATAGACGAATATTTTTTGTTTCTATATTTTACTCTATGCCAACAAATTTTAGAGATGAAACCGTTCCTCAAGGTGTTCAAGAGGAAGAAGGTACGCAATTCGTGTACGAAGTGTACGAAAAGAAGTAAAATGTGCTTTCTATTACAAAATGATTACTATTTTTTATACTATATACAATTTACTTTGAAATAAATGCACATGTATGAAAGATTCTACACTTAATTATCTTTTTCAATGCTTTATTACTGTCCGAACATACCCTTTATAAACCAGATTATAAATATTGGAAAATTTTTACCAATCACAGTAAAATTTCTTAACCAGGGGGCCACTGCAATTGACGACCACCGAGAACATGAAGGTGTAAATGGAATACAGACTGTGCACCGTCTTTTCCGTCGTTTACGACTAAACGAAAACCATTATCAAGGCCTTGCTGCTTCGCCACTTTACGCGCGACTAGCATTAAATGTCCCAGGACACCTTCGTCTTCGTCCTCTGCTTTTGACAGTTGTTGAATTGGTTTCCGTGGAATCACCAAAAAATGCACAGGTGCTTGAGGGTTGACGTCTTGAAATGCGACGCACTAACATATTAAAATTACTTTTAAGAAACACATTACAATTGCAATTATGCTATATATTGCGGTCTACAATTCTCAATGATATGACAGATTATGTAAGCAACAGTCACTCATTATATTTTTATAGGTTGTATATGACAAGATGAGTATTCCACGAGAAAATATGGACTTTTGAATCTCTGTTTGCAATACCATTTTAACTAGATATTATTGAAAAACTACTTATTCTTTCTTGTTCAAAAGAATTTCTAGTATTATGTTGAACTCTTTTACGTATGTTAGTCTTTACTTGTAAACATTAGTACCAATGTTATTAAAGATGATATTATCATTTCTCTTTCATGATGTTTCACTTAAATTTATAAATACAACAAAATAATTTTACATGTTTCATATTTTTTAACCTATTGGCTTATTTCTATTAATTCTATTTTTTGTATACCAAAGTATAATATTCTCTTGTAATGTCTATCCTTAATTTATTGTATTTATTAATAATTAATGCATAAATAATAGTTCTTATATCAATGCAAATTTCTGTTATTCAACTTTTTTGAAGAATTTATTTGTTGTATATTAAGAATAATAATATATAACTAATAATAAAGTCTCCCAACTTTTGAAACGCTAATTTTGGAAGTCTTCAGACGTGTTCTTTTTGTCTATAGCTGTAAAATAATGGGAAATAATCCACCGACAAGGAGGTACTTCGAAAATCTGAATAATTGTAAAATATTAAAATTACTTAGAAAGAAACATTTCGACATTACACTTAAAATCAAGTTAAAACTAGTAGTTGTAATTTGAGATGTATCTTCGCAAATATTGAACTATACATCGAGTAATAATAGATGAAACGCCGAAATCCGGCAATTAACCGTGTATCAATTCACATGACAAAAATAAATGGATTTTTTATCATAGAACATTTATTGTATGTCAATCATCTAAAATTACCTTATCATCCTCGTAAATGAAATTACAAGGTATCTCTTTGCGCAGTATTTTCCCGAAAATCGTATCACCTCCAGGAGCTGCAGCCTGCGCCTTTTCCACTTCAGTCGCCATTTTTCTCCAGCAGTGCGAGTGACTGAAGAGATTGGTGCGCAAGTACGGCAGCCGTTTAGACGAAATCAACCCGAGGTTCAAAAATAGTTTCATTTTAAGTATCATCTACCTATTATCTACCTTCTCTAAGCTTTTTGAAGCGATAAAATCAATGGCGTTGTAGTTAACTTTCTGTTCAGACAATTGTGCGATTAGGAAAGTGCTACGATCAACACGCCATATTTGATACGAAGAATTGGCGGGCAATTCAAATTGTACACAAGAGCACGTTTATCGTACTTCTTGCTAGGCTTAGTTGGATCATCGACAATTGCCTAATTTTGAAAATTACATTAAATTCGTAGGCATATTTGATATATAAAATTATAAAATCTTTATTTTGTTGTACAGTCTTTTTAAAGGTCCTTTCACTCTTCTCTACAAATTGTGCGTTAGGTGTATATAAATATTGCTCGCAGAGTTTGGATTTATACACATACTGAACATACAATTACCTCATTAAACGCTATTACTCGTTTGCTTTACATATACAGTATATGGCAGTGTACTTTCTGGTTTCTTTCGCGGAACACCTTATGTCTTTCCAGCGAATCTAACGGGTCAAGAGAGGCCCCAGTCTTACAAGAATAACGCTACTTAATCCTACGCTTATCGTTACGTTTAACTATACTGAAAATTAAGGCATGTGATATGAACATCGTTGCGCTTTATGAAAGCACACCTATTTGATTATTGAATAACATAATTTTTTGGTGTGCGTCGATGAATGTTGTATCTCGTACGGTTGGGAAAATACCACAACGTAAACGATAATGAAAATGAAGAAAAGTCGACTTAATACGATTATCGGTACTGTAGAGACAAAAGAGAATCGAAATACTAGTTGTTAACTAAATAAATAAAGTTACCATTAAATACACTAACGATGGAAATGATACGATGGTCGGAATAGAACGAAAAGATTATTGTTTGCTCTGATATAACATCTACATATGATTAAATTACGACGATGCTCAGAGTTACGTGATGGCAATGTGAATTAAATATGATGATAGTTTCATACGATGTGATAAACGTGCTTTGCAATTATAATTTCTAAATGAGAATATTCATAAGCTCTACCTACTTACAAAGATCCGTATCGTATTATAATCGCGGTAGACTATACTGTTAAAAAAAAAATATATGTATAATAAAAACTAAAAGAAAAGAAGTACTGCAACGTTCTTACACGTAAATAAGATTACTATCATTTGATACAGTAACGTCAGTCTGCGTTTAAGAAACGAATAAACAGCTACAAAATATTTATCGCAATGAAAAAATAGTCATCACGAGTCGTCTTCGGTAAAGTACCGGTGTCTTAGAGCTTGAGCCGCAGTCAATCGACTATGAGGGTCGAACATAAGCAAATTCTTAATTAAATCTAGTCCATCTTCGTTGAGATCAGGTATTATTGCCGCTAATGGTTTTGGTGGCCTGCAGGCGAAAGCTGTCCAACTTAAGGACACGTTCTCGGGCCATTCTTCTTGCGATGGGGTTCCTATTACTCTGTTAAATAAATGAAAAAAAGAAAACACGTGTAAATTCAAACGATATAAACAAACAAAGGGAAACAATGTTTCGAGTAACTTACTGAAAAATCCTATCGAGTTGATCACCTTCGCTCGTCCCAGGAAATAGGGGTTCGAGTCGACTCAATTCTGCTAGTATGCACCCCACAGACCAGATGTCAACAGGAGTCGCATAAGAACATCCCAGAAGTACCTCAGGGGCTCGATACCACTGTGTCACGACCTGCGTAAAACGTTAATTGTTATTGAAGGATGATAATGGTAGTCTTAAGGGGGTATTTTCATTTTTATAATTGAAAAGATTGATTTTAAACAAAATTTTTTCTTTCTCAAAGTATTAGGTTGTCCGAAAAGTTTCTTTCGTTTTATTAATAAGTAATATTAGGTTGTCCCGAAAGTTTCTTTCGCGAGTTGCACTCAATTATTTCATGTGGTCGTGTTTATATAAATAGACAATCTAATTTCATATATATTCATGTTGTAACAGTAATGGAGCAAAATGAATCGTGCACAATTCAGTAATGTAACATAAAACATAAACTATTGTGCATATATTATTTATTAATAAAGCGAAAGAAACTTCTGGGACAACCTAATACATACACAGTAGTAGTAGTAGTAGTAATAAGTTTATTTCAGCCTTTAAGTTAATTTCAGCCTTTCGGCCCAGTAATGGGACTTGGTTTTCCATTCTCTATACTCACACATCCACCCACCCTGCCACATTACATTCATCACCCCACGCGATTACCCACCCTCTCTTTGCTTCTCTTCTCTGAACGTATGTTACTAATTGTAGATTGTACTTTTATCCTTCCCGTTTACTAATTTCCTTATCCAATCTACATTTCTTGCATTACCACGTTGGCTGGCTGCAGGCCTAAAATTTTGTCTTGAAACAATTACAGACTACAGAATCTAACATTTGTCGTATTACTTATTTTTGTATTCTCATAAAAATTTACAAATTCTATCCCAATTTGATTTTGTCAACACTTAGCTTTTAAAATGAATTGTTGAAGTTCCTTAGCGAAAAGCTCTGTCACCCATATATGGGTGACGTGGCGGCCAACGTGTTAAACCTACCCTCTAAAAGATCTTCTATGCTCATATTAGCATTTTTCCGCTTGTCCCAATCTGCTAAATAGTGCTTCAGAGATCCTCGTCCCCTTCCACAAAACTCGCACCTTTTCTCCTCACACGCAAGCCAGTATCTATTCCAAGGTTCTAAATTTCTGCACCTCGCCTTCGCCATCAAACTTTGGCTGTTTAGTCTTCCATCTTTTCTTAGATACTCCCTTTGTCCCGTAAATAAATATCTATACCTACTGTTATATTTAACTTTTCTTATTTGGTTAAATTGCACTTGTTCCTGATTTTCCCTATCCCTATTCACCAGTTCCAGAGTTACTCTATCACTCTCCCCTCTCAATCTCCTAATCCCTTCCTGACTATATCCGTTTCGTATGCCATACTCTATCCTTTCTTTACCATTTTTTTTGTCC